GCCGGTCAGAATTTCCGACAGTACAAGGGCGTTGCGCTGGACCATTGTAGCCGCCGCTTCAACATTGACGGCCGGGTCATGGTCGACGCGGAGACTCACCACCGCATCATGGCCGACTATGCCTTCAACGTCAGATCATTCCCCAAGATGGTAGGCCGGAAGCGGAAGCAAGATGACGAGAGCGACGATGTTGAATTGGTTCCAAAGGAGATTGCTGAGTTTGCGCCCCTGAGCGACGAACAGCGCCTACTGGCCAGCCCCATGGTCCGCGGCTTCAGCTTCACCGAGAAGAAGTTCCTCGACTTCTTCATCGACAAGATCAGCCCCATTGAATGGAACACCCAATGCTTTGAGCAGCTGGTCCTTCCAGACTCTCAAAAGGAGCTCGTGCAGGCTCTCGTCGCGGAGCATACCGCCCGCGCCACCGATCCGAACTCGTCTGCCTTTGATGATATCGTCAAGGGTAAGGGCAAGGGCCTCATTCTCGTCCTGCACGGCCCTCCAGGTGTAGGAAAGACCTTGACGGCAGAGTGCGTGGCCGAGTTCAGCCGTCGACCGCTGTACATCGTCTCTTCAGGCGACCTCGGCACCTCGTCATCGGTCCTGGATGAGAAGCTGACCAAGACGCTCGACCTGGCGAGTACCTGGAAAGCGGTGCTCCTCATCGACGAGGCCGACGTCTTCCTTGAGCGCCGCTCGCTGCACGACATGGAGCGCAACAGCCTCGTGTCCATCTTCCTGCGCACGCTCGAGTACTACAGTGGCATTCTGTTCATGACGACGAACCGCGTACGCACCTTTGACGACGCCTTCAAGAGCCGTATCCACGTCCCGCTCAAGTACGACGACTTGCCATGCGAGAGCAGATTGAAGGTGTGGAAGAACTTCCTAAACAACGTCGAGGGCGGCGTCGACATTGACGAGGAAGGGTATGAGAAGCTCGCTGAGGGCAAGCTGAACGGGCGACAGATCAAGAACGTGGTCCGCACGGCCAAGAGTCTTGCCTCGTACAAGAAGCGGAGGCTGGACTGTGAGCAGCTGCAGCAGGTTGTGGATATCCAGATGACCTTTGAGAGAGAGTTGGACAATGTTGATGGTGACATTGATGTGGTTGTACGATAGAGAGAGGACTCGGACTTGGGGCAAATGAGGAGCGGGAGCCAACGGGAGCCAACGGGATCGGCACGTTGGGGGAGGGCATAGTGGTGACCTGTGCTGATGAGTTTTCTGGGGAATGACAAGGTTAAATTCAGTTCCTGTGATCTCTGCGTTCTCGACCCCACAGCCATCGGAACGTAGCTGTGAGATTGTTGTTTGTCGCCGGTCAGGCCCAACGGTTTGTGCGGAGCCCCCAGGATAGACAAGATGATGAGACTCGAGGGGCAAACATCGCGAGTCAAAGGCAACGGCGGCGACCAACGAGAGTGGTGAAGCCACAGCAAGATAAATGGGCAAGTGCAAGCAAATTGACAAACATCAAGGAGAAATGCGACAAACATGAGCCGATCCTGCATGGAATTTGGCGGGGCTGGCCTTTGGGGGACGGCCATCTCGGCAGACAAACGCAATGTCGGGTGCCCAGTAAGTCTCAATCTTGTTGGTCGTGTTTACCCCTGTGTTCAAGGCCGGTATGTCGCAGTTAAGGGTTCGAACGGTTAAAGACATGATGACGAATGTCAAGAAACCCGACGATATTGCTCTGCCTTGTGCTACGTTACGGCATGTTATTCGATCCCAAAGTGACACAATGCCATTGAGGACTCGTACGGGGTTGCTGATGTCTGGTGCCTTTCAGTCCGGGCAAGTTAGACAGTTGCCCAGAGTCGCTTTGCAGTCTTCCTTCCTCAAGCTGTCTTTTCCTATTCTACAGATTCCAGCCCTAGACTCTCGAGCAAGAGACTTAAGTAGGTATGCTCAATGACTCGGCAAACATCGACGATGCTGGAGAGCTGAGAGCAGCCCAGCTTAGCCCAGACAGCATCTCGACCGAAAGAGCCCTAGTCCTGGCCGCGGCTCGCACGCTTGTGGCGCCCCCCTCACGAGGACTCGAGAACCGGCAAACCCGCCAGAGCCAATCGTACAAGACGCACGACCCTCTAGCGTGTATGGTACCGTGCCGCCGGGTCGACGCCAAGGGACGCCCCATGTCTCGTTGGTCTGGGGAGATTGGGGCCTCCTTTCTGAGGGTTGGGTGAAGTTTGGGTGAAAGCTGGATGAAAGTTAGGTGTGTTGGCCCCAGGGGACCCGGTTTGGCTTGAGACGGGGTGGCTGAGAAAGCATTGAAGCTTTTCTAGACTGCAAACAGACTAAGCGAATTGCAAGGGTGAAACTGGTGAGTCGTTGACGCGATTGGTTCGGAGACGAGGTCTTCGTGGCATTGAGGCCAGTCTAGACTCCTTACTTACTTTAGAGGTGAACAACTCAAGAGCGGTAGATTCTTGGAGCTTTCTCATCACCTCCCTTTATTTTGGGTAAAGGCGGTAATGACACGCATGGGGGGAGCCCTGGCCCCTGATCGTGAAAGGGGCCAAAAGCACTGAAAGAATGCCCTTGTCGATACCCCCGCCCATATGCCGATTTTGTCTTGCCGAGGACTCGAGTTGGTCCAGCCAATTCCCGAAGCTGCGGTAAGTAAACGGTTGCTGTCTTATGAGACTGGATCGAGACATGGTATTCTGAACAGAACACCCTCAAATGCCTTTGTTGGACGGCGCGGACACGGACTGGGCAGGCTACCTCCAACTGCGTTTCCGCACTACTTAGTCCCCTAGCAAAGCACACCCTTTCACACCCTCCTTGGCGCAAACGTGGGCAATGTTGATATATTAGGGTCACAATCCTTCGTGTCGACATTTTCTGTGGTTGTACATATCAACGTCCGGGCAAAAAAAGCATTTTGACAGCTGCGCGGAAAGAAGAAAGAGAGAAGCGTCTTTGCATGGCTGGCCGCAATGATTTCGGGGCAAGGAGGAGTACGCCACATGCAGCCCTCGACATGTCGTTTACTCATTTGACAGCTGAGCCTTCTACTTCCTCCACATCCACATCCACGATGCGGAACTATCCAAAGATAGATGTTGAGCTTTCGGTTGTTCCTTACTCTAGGGGTGAGGGTACGTGGACACCCGAAGAGCACGTTCATCCGAGGCAATGGAGTCAGGCGCGGAAGGCGTATGATACGTGCTTGATTGTCTTTCTTGAGTTTTTCACGTTTGTCAACCTCTCCGTCTCGCTGTCTAGGTGCCAGGATTGACTTTGCATAGGACCATGATCAGCACTGCAGGAGTATGTCCTTCCATGTCTCAATGGCGTTCCTATGGTCAACATACTGACACCCTCCACAGTCCCCGGTTGCTGGACACATTTACGGAGATCTTGGTATCAGCCCAGTTTCAGCGACTTGCATTTTTGTTTCGACGTAAGTGAGACGGTAATAAATGCCTGTTCCGACCTTTCAGATCCCTAACAACGTCATCTAGATATCTCATCGGCCAAACCATCGGAGGCGTCTTCTTCCCACCCTGGTCAGAGTCCTTTGGCCGAAAGAAACTCTACGTAATCAGCACCGGCCTATATAGCTTGTCATGTATCCTCGTAGGCAGGGTGCCAACTATTCCTGGCATCGTTGTCGGGCGTTTCGTCGGTGGACTGTTATCGTCTGTCCCTACGATTGTGGCCGCGGGCAGCATCGAAGACCTATGGGACACGAATGCGCGGGTATGGTGGCTATACTGGTGGTCATTGGTAGCGAACCTCGGCATATTGACGGGTCCGGTCTTCAGTGATCTAGTGATGAGAAGTACCCACTGGTAAGACTTTGCCGTCGGGTTCAATTTCAGTAGCCCATACTAACCATGAACTCCTTAGGACGTGGGTTTTCTACACGGCAGCCATAGTCACTGCATGCGTCACAATGCTTCTGCTCACCATTAAGGAGTCCCGTCCCTCCGTCGTACTTGCAATGGCCCAGGCACTCTCCGAAGTCCAAGGCCTGAGCAGCAACACCACCTCGCCTGGCACGGTGTTTCCTTCAACTCGCGAGAAGCTCGATCTCCTCCGCCCCTTACGATTCTTTTTTACCGAGCCAATCGTCTTCCTAGCCGCTGTTGTAAGCGCCATTGCATTTGGACTCGTCTACCTTTTCACGGAGGTCTTACCTCTAGTCTACGTAGACATGGGCTTCACCGATGCCTCGATGAACCTGCCCTTCCTTCCCCTTGCAATTGGCATGGTCTTCAGCGCCCTTACACGTCTCTACGATCGCCGCGTCCTTGCCGAAAGGATGTCGAGGTCGCTACCACTCACACCCGAGTCCAAGTTCGCAGGCTTCATCATCGGTGCGCCCCTATTGGCCATCGGTCTGTGGTGGTTTGCGTGGACTATCCCGCCGTACACGACGTCGGCACACTGGGCTATCCCAACAGTAGCACTTGTACCAATAGGTTACGCGGTCAATGAGTTTGACTATGTGCTGGCTGGATATCTTACCGATTGCTATCAGACATACTCAGCCAGTGGGTACGCCGCTATGTCACTAGTTCGGTCCACGCTCTCTTCAACATTTCCTCTGTTAGGCAGAGCGCTGTTTGACTCGCTGGATTCCAACATGGCGTCTTCGGTGTTTGCTGCATTAGCAACGGTTCTGTGCGTTGTACCTCCGCTATTGTTGAGGTACGGGAGCACGCTTAGGGCCAAAAGTGCATTCGCGAGCAAGGACTCGAGAGACCTGGCGAACCTGTGAGAGGGTAGCAACCCCTATTCATGTACATATTCTTACAAAACTTACATACGACTTCTTCTAAGATACAAGTATCCAGTACAAAGTTCAGCACGGCGTTGTTGATTGCTGCGTTCATAGAGGGATGGACAAGGTTGAAAGACACGATTAACATTACAGCTAACTAGAGCTATCGCGGATATCGGACACAATCCAACCCTCCCGGGAGGTCGAGGAAAACAGACATCGCAGGCCGGAAAACTTATAGGAAGCCTTCATCGACTCATTTATGCCCATTGGTAGCTCCGTTGGTGTTGCTACCAGAAGTCAGGCCCTTTGTGGAATAACCCAGGGGCATGCCAACCAGGTATTTCTGCTTGCTTGTTGGGATGTTATCAGCACTGGCCCCCTGAGCACCGAGAATGTGGACCTCGGCATCCTTCTGGAATACAAGGATAATATCGGAACCTCCAAACTCGAAATGGGATATCTCGTCGCCCTTGTTGATGTCCACATTCGGCTGAATCGGGTACTGCTGACCTGGCCCGGGTTGCCACTTGAGATTCACGGACGAGACCTGCGCCATGCCGATGGGCAGCACGGCAACGTAGCCGAGAAGAGGATTCTTGATGATGACGCAACCTCGGGCCTGGAGGAACTGGTATCCGGCCTCGTCGGGCATGCTGAGAGCACTGCCTACCCCGTCCACATCCCCGTTCTGCTGTGCTTGAGCGTCTGGGGAAGTATAGCTGCGATGGGGCTTCAGCTTCCCTGTTTCGGGATCGACTATGACCTGCAAGTATGCGAGGCCCTTGATTACGTTGGCCTCGACGACGGTTCCAGCGACCGGTGCATGTTGACGGTGGTAGTCGTACGTGTTGAGATACGCATGCATAAAGGTACCGCCCTCGAACTGGGCGGCATACTGGCTGCCAGCCAAGAGGTCTTTGATATTCCAAGGGACATTTTTGATACTGATGTCGTTATTTTGATTCACTGGCCAGGCACCATCGAAAGTGCAGTCGGCGGGGTAAACCACAAGACGATCATAGTCTTTGTCTAAGGGGGTTCCTGCGCTGATAGGCCGCATACCAGGCTTCAGAAAGCGAGCAAAGAGCTGATTAAAGTTCTGCCAGCCTCCGGATGGCACAACGGCCTCGTCGTAGTTGTATCGAGGAGATTCCTGAAAAGATTGGAGTGCGGCGGCGTTGATCGAGCTGCTATTGTCCATCCAGCTGCCAACCTTGTTGGCGAAGTCGATTGTCCATTGACTCAGTGGCAAAGGGTTCTGTCCGATAGAGTATGGTCTAATTGGAGTCGAGTACGGGGCAATGTTGATGGGGCTCTGATCGAGGACGAAGTAGAGCACGCAGAACGTATTGTAGATGAGCTTCCCGCTGCACACTTCCGAGGGCACCCAGTTCAGCATGGCGCTGAGGAATAAGAGGAAGCTGTGGGCGTCGACGATGCCCCAGTCTTTCAACTGAGGAATATCCCAAGAAACTGCTGCCGCCACGGCCTCTTCCAATAGAGTCAGGTTGCCATTGAAAATCTTATCGACGAGGTTTGTTTGGATCCATGGGTCTACCGTGGTAGACAGAGGGAATGGGGCAGGATCGGACGAAGAAAACTTTGGAAACATAGTTGCGCTGGAACTTTGATGGAGAGGGTAGGTGTTATTAGCTTGCGTAAGTCTTGTTGAGGGGTCGAGGGATGCAAACGATGCTTCGAATTCATGCTCGTCGTCAACGCTTTATAGGCTCCTGGGCTACTTTCTCTCGACACCACTGCGGAAACCTAACTCATAGGTCAAGTGGAGAGAACTACGAGACTGGTTCAGCTAATGCTGCTGAATTCTGGATCTGCGACGTTTGCATTCCGGCTCTCTCATTGCTGGATCACCTGTCACCGGTATTTCTCCCCATCAATCCGCGGTGAGACAGAGCTGAAAGCCACGAACTCCAAGATATGATGCCCAGACCGCAAACAGCATCACGGCACTTGAGCTGGAGGTAGAAGAAGGCATGTAGCTCGCTCATCGAGTGCCGGGAGTTTCATGTTCGGTATGGCTTCTGCTGGAACGGCCCGCGAATCGTTGATGTTTTGGTCGTCGGGTGAGTGAACACGGCATGTTGGTGGTTCAGCCTCAGATTCGAGACACGTGCTGTTTCCTCAGCTTCACCTCTTGCCGAGACAACGGGCGGCAACTAAGCTTTCGCAGCCGGAGTCGGACTGGCTTGCTTCGCTTCGGGAGAGGGAGAGGGTCTAGACTGTCGTCGGCATGAATTTTAAGAAATGCTCTGTGGCATAGAATCGCTGGCTGCTTTGTCGTGGCAGTATCGGATCACTTGAAATGAGCTCTGTGAGAGCTTTGCTGCTTATGTGATGTGAAAGGTATGATCTTCTTAGGCGAGGAGCAACAGACTATGGGTTCCCGGGAAAGATCACAGCTGCCTGAGTCGAACGTCCGGAGTTAATTTCCTCCGCATGATGACGCGAAAGTTCTGCCAAGCGTCATGGCCGCGGAAAATCACACGGTGTCTAAAGAAGATCATGACTTACATTATGGATGCAATGTGTCAAGGGACACATCAATCATCATAAGATGGCCATACCACGCCTGTATTGGAACGTCGCCCTTGGCCTCCGAACCTGTCATGGAGGACAACGTGCTGGCTGCCTCAGGAAAAGCTAGTCGCATTATTCCACATCGATCAAGCTATTACCTGATGCGAATTACACTGAAGGACACTATCTTAGTATGTCAAACTCTCACACATTTAGTAATAGAATTACCATGGCTCGCTTCCATTGCACCGTCATGTACCTTACTCGAGCGAGATTGATGATCAGTACTTACTCAGGCTGGGCAAGAATTATGGGCTGGGCTCAGAAGTCTTCGGCACTTTCCGGGGGGGTAAAGTTCCTAGCAATATCGAATGCACCTCTCATGGTCACTAGAAGATCCTAGATATCACTGGTGAAATGTACAGTGCCGCTGGGCAATGTGAGATGGTGGAGGCACCTTCTTCTCGGGGGATAGGGGTTCGCAAGTCGCTCTAGCGCCCTTCTGCATTTTAAAACCACCAGAGGCGGGACTGATTTTGAGGGTCTCTTCATAGCCTGAACAGGGTCGAGCCCGGCGAAGAATTCTTGGTGTCGGCAGTGAGGGAATTCCTGCAGCCACTTTAGCGTTCAGATCAATTCTTCCCTTGTCAACGAGAGCCATTCGAATGGGTAGAGCCTCGAGGAGTTAGGCAACCGTGTATGATCTTGTCGTCTTTGGAAACTTTGTCTACAATGTACAAGCCACGGTTGACGACATGCTGTGGCTCTCTGGCCCACGATCATGATGATATTTGACCCAAGGCACCAGTCAAATCCGTCTTTTTTCCTGCGATTCTCCCTGTTCGTGCAAATATGGCTTTCCTTTTCATAGTGTCCGGCGAGCAATGAGAACATGAATTTCCAGATCTGAACACAAAACACTTGTACACATAATGTTCTCACCGCAGGGTGATGGACAGCATTTCCAGCATTCAGCTCATCTCATGCATTGATCCCGCTAAGATGTCTTTACATGGCACAAGCACTTAGAAAAGACAGAGATCGGCATGGAAAGGATCCGTAGCAACGTTACTTTCCATCCGAATGCTCTCGAGGCGTCTGTTTCACGCGGGAAAGCGGTGTCAGATAATCTGAGTGTCTCAGTCGTGATCATGCTGTCCTACCGCTTTCGAGTGATGGATCTCACTGGCCTCAGCTTGGTTCCATGGGCCACAGTCCTATCATAAGGAACTTTTTGCCTTATTATTCTCTTCCATTCAATTAGCTTTTTTTAAGCAATGAGAGTCCGGTCCGCGGCCGCCGGTGTTGCTGTGCCTGTAATTTTGCAATGTCACTAGTTCGGTCCACGCCCTCTTCAACATTTCCTCTGTTCGGGAGGACAATGTTATCCTTCCTAATCAGGGTGCAAGGCCTCTTATGTTTCCCCTTTGTGGTCAAGTCAAATAACCTTACAGCGTCGCACTCCCCCTTGCGTCAAGACGGATGAAAAAGGGACGGAGAACTGGTGTTCGTCCATACCGAAATAGGCTGATCAGGTAAAGCGGGTTGAGTTCAGAAATAATAATACGAGGTCTGTAACAACTTACCGTTTGCATGTTGGTAGTTGCCCGAGGAAGGTTTGAAGCCGATTGGCCATGAACATCAAGATGCTTGTCAACTGCTCCCTAAACCTTTACGTTACCGTACTGCCGGATCATGTATTGCAAGGGTCACCCTTTTCTGCGTATAGAAATGCTGCTGCCTTGTGCGGAGACGGTACAAAATGCTGCTGCCTTGAAGGTGGAGGACAACGTAGTAGGTCGCGGGCCTTTAGGTGCGCTTAACTCAAGGCGATAACTGCCATTCCGAGGTATGGAAAGTCCACGTTTAGTAATCCTGCAAATTGCCGCGGGGCTTCGCGGCAGGATCATTTGGCACATATTGATTATTATGTCGCCCCATGAGAAATAAGGGTACGGAAATATCGGCCTTTGGTTCTTAATGGTGCTTGTGCTTTAACGTCAAAGTCGGGCCTGATTCATGGGCCGCGGTTTCATGAACAGCATCATGACTCCGAATTACATCTTTAACTGATTCGAGTTCATGGCTAAGCCAGAGGAAGTGATGTTGAGGCGAATTTTGTCCTTCTCGGAAAAACTTAGGACGAACATGAAGAAACACCCGTTAGGGTAATCCTTACAATCTCGCACGCAATTGGTCGAGTGCTTGTCGTTCATGCAGGGGCAGAATGCGAAAGACTTCATCTGGAGCTCAGCCCTCCTCAACCCAGGGAGGTGCCCATCGCCTTTCCACTCTAGGAATCTCTTAAACTGTTGCCTAGTTCTTGGTTCCACGATTATTTCGCCGCAAAACTTTACGAACCACACTTTGCCCACATGAGCGGTTACTCCTGGGTCACTAACATGCACGTGCGTCTATACGTAAGAGAGCAGCATTGTCATTGTTAAAGGAGGTTTCACTTTGGTCATCGGTAGCTGCTGAAATGTGGCGAAGCTGTCAATAGGAGAGCGATTCAGTGTCATGATAGCCAACATGCAAAGCCCGATGCACGAGGAGGCAGCCAGGTGATGGAGAAAGCAACTAGCCGCCTGATGGGGCATGTCTGAAAGGGCGTCTAAAATCATATTCCGTGCTTCCATTAGTCTACTTTCCAACCTGAAGAATGGATATGTGACAATGATTCGTCGAGTCAGGAAGAATGGTCCATGGTACAGGACAGCAAGGGCATCTAGTCTAGGAGTAGCCTGCAACGGTACCTGGGCAATGTTGAACTCACAAAGAAGTCTGTACTCTGAAGTCTTCAGTTAAGTACATGTATCGTTCGAGCCACTGGAAATCAAATCTATTTATTAGGATACCTTGTAGTCGATCATCCTCTTGAAAAGACACCTTGGTCACGGTTTTTCGTTTTGTGTCGTCTTCAATCCTTCATGGTCTGTCGTCTTGATAGCGTTCAGCAAACAATCAGGGGGTTGAAAATATTCTCCACGATATCCGATTTTACTTCCACACTCTTTCAGCATTATCGTCTATTTCTTGGCCCATTTGCTTCTATACTATCTTTTTCTTTACAATACACTCTCAACGTCAGCGATTTATCCCCTTCTTCGATTCTCCCTACTTTTCGTCTTTAAACGAGAACTTATTGAACATCCATTTGGACAAAGACCTGGGCAACAGGGTCACGAAGCGAGATTCTTTCTAGTATTCAAGATGATAGCGCTTCCTGGAAAGGTCATTTTCAAGGCCTCGGCGCTTGTTACCTTGGCCCTGACAGCCGCCTTGGTTGTTCATCAACTAAGCTATACCAACGACTTCGCCCTACCCAACCAGTCCATAGAGGTCATCAGTCTTTGTGATGCTTCCGAGCGCCATAGAAAACACCCTCGAGAACCCATCGAATCAAGTTCGACAACACCGCAAGGACCGATCCCCAAGCTCATCCACCAAGTTTGGACAACTCGGAACGTCAGCACTTACTCTGTCCAAGCCTCCTATGAGACGTGGAAGAATACGATGGAGCCCCTCAACTATACCGTCAAACTATGGACAGACGAAGATGTCCTCGAACTGATAAAGACAAGGTACTCTTGGTTACTATCGACGTACGAGGGTTATGCCCAGAATATCCAACGAGCCGACGTAGCGAGACTGGTTGTCGTCCATGCAGAGGGGGGCATCTACGCAGACTTAGATGTCTACCCGAGATCGACGGAAGAGATGTCTTGCGTACAAAGCCTCGGCTTACAGGCTATCTTTGCTCCAACATCGGGCACTCTTGGACTCAGCAACCACTTCTTCATGGCAGAGCGTGGTTCCTCCTTTCTCGAATGGGCTCTTCAAGAAGCCAAGCGACGCGGCGGTCCGACCTCGAAACGAATTCTCCTACCCTACCTCCAGGTGTTCTGGTCAACGGGCCCAATAATGGTGACATATGCGTTCCATCAATACGCGTGGATGTACAGCCCAGTACATCACGGTGTGGAGCTGCTGGATGAGGGATACGCCCGAAAGTTGTTTGGCCATGCGGCAGGGCGCTCGTGGCATGGTTCAGATGGGCATTTCTTAAACTATGTCTCAGACCACTTGGGAACTGTGTTGTTCTGGGTTACTGTGTGCCTATCGGTGCTTTCTTTGGTGACTGTCATTTTTCTCAAGAGGAGTCGCGGGAAGTCCATTGACTTTCTGGTAGGATGCGGATCTGTGTGTAGAAAGAAGAGTTGGGTAGCCGAAGTGTAAGCCTGGAGTCATTCTATAGTAATAAACACTCCAATGTCAAGAAGAAAATATTTGGGACGTTGAGCATTTTCAATCATATCGGCCGACCTGCACTGAGGACGTGTAACGACATGGAAACACTGACATTGCCTTACAGCCGGTGTGTGACGCCTTTCATCCAACGCGATGATATAGCTAGACTGCTTCACACGGAACATACATGTACGCTTAAAGGCGGCGAGATGGAAATGAAGGAAAGTCATAACAGTCATTACAAGAGAAGACTTAAAGCAAGGCACCGTTACTCCCTCATTGGACGTCTGGTCAGCCTTACCCAAAAGTCCCTGGCGACGAAGAAAATCGCGCTGAGAGTCGTGATTGGCTTTTCCGGGTTCATGACGGTGAAGTCATATCTCCTTAAAAGCTGCAAGGAGACCTAGGTCAGTGGGGTGTTGCTGTGAGGGTACGCGAGGGAGAGGGTTGTTACCTCAACAAAGACCTTGTTCAACTCCATCATGGCAATCGGTTTTCCGAGACAAGAGTACTTACCGTGGCCAAAGTGGGAATCAACAGCAGTGTTCATTCGCTTAAGCTCATCTTTACTTGCCAAAAGCCATCTCTCCGGGCGGAAGACATCGGCGTCCGGACCCCACACCCAGAGTGAGCGTCCGACGCCGAAGAAGTTGTGTCCGATCTGCGTGCCGCCGGGAACGAAGTAGCCGTTTATGACATCTCCGCCTTCAGGTGACTGCTTGAAGCCGAGACCAGTGACGGGAGGGTAGAAGCGCAGGCCTTCGCGGATGACGGCCTGGAGGTATGGAAGTTTGAGGGCTTCGGCATTGGTGATGGGGGAGCTGATTACGCCGGCGGTAATGGCATCATCGATTTCCTGCTGGAGCCGTCGGTAGGCGACAGGATTGTTGATTAAAGACAATAATGTCATACGCATAGCTTGCGCGGCCGAGTTTGTGCCAGCGATCCTGAAAAAGCATGAGCGTACGGATTGAAGAGAATTGTGGATGAGACTTACATGTGGATGTACACAAGTTGAATGAGTTCATCTCTACCAAGGCCCTGATTGATAAAGGCTTGCATCATGTCTTTCTGGGGCTTCGCGCCGGGTTGAAGTCTCATGTCTGCGTAATTTCTAGCGAAGCTGCGCTGTGTTAGTGGTCAAACTCACGCTGTCCTGGGTTTATCACTCACCCCATCAAGCGACCAAACCCGACCTGATCGCCCTCCTTGGGCAACATGAGTCTAAAAGGCCACTTATGAACGAGTCTTCCAAGCCAAGGAAGCACCGAGACAACATTCATAATCGGCAACGACGATTCGTTGATCTCAATGTACCGAAATAGGTCCCGATCCTCAGCAAGAAATCCAAAAGCACCACCAAAGGAAACATCTCCAATGGCGTCGAGCGCAAAGAACTGCGTTTTCTCGGCGAGATCCATCGGACGAAATTCCGAGTCGGTGGAAACGTAATGTCGGTCTATCAGGCGGATGAAATTCGTGAGCTGCCGGTCGATCCCGATTTCAAAGCCGTAACCTTCGTTCTCTTTGGCGGCGTACTATCGGCGGAGAGGAGCAATTAGCGGTCCAAAACTCAAAAGTGCTCTTCCGGGTCATGAAGAGACGAGCAATGGCCGAAGGCCCAGAAAAAAAAAAAGACAGGGACTCACAGCCGGGCTCATTCTCGCCCTCATAGCCTTGTGTTCATTCTCATCCCGCATCGAGACGACATTATCTACGCCCGGAGTGATCCGGCCAGAGTCGTAGAAGTCGCCCTTGGTGTATGGCGAGCGGACGGCCGACATCTTGCGCAGCGAGTCTGGGTCTGTGCAGAGGAGCTCGTTGGGCCCTATGCGGGCGAGGGGGCCTGCAGCGATGATCAGTGATCAGCGTCTGTCTCTCCAGGTTTCCGGGGCACTTGTTGGCTTCGTGTCGCAACACCAAAGCCGTTTGACGCGGGGGTTTGAACAGCGTTGATGGAGAGGGCGCCTAAGGCAAAGCCAGCTTACCATACTTCCTGGCGATATCATTTAGGTGGTCATGATATTTTCCTCCAATTGCTTTCTTCAACTGCCATAGGACCGAGATCGAGGCGAGGAAAGGTCCGGGAATATTTCGCAGGCGATACCATGACCGAAACTCCCACACAAAGAAGGCGATGACAGCCAACAAAGCGACGGACTTTGCGAACAAGAAGACAGACGCACTCGAGCCTGATATGGATTCTAGATGAGCCTCACCCAAGCCCACTTCGTTGTGCCTAAGCCCGGTCATTTCCCCCCGAATCAACCGGCCTCCTCGCGTCCCGTTTCCCGTCCCGTGCCGTTTCAACAGTCCCACTGGAAGCGCTCCCGATTCGTTCTTTGCTGTCGCTGCGCCGCTTGATGGCTTGCTCCGCTTGTGACTGTGGCCCTGTGAGTGATCGATCCCGTACTGAGCTCTTCACGGGACAGCAGGGTAGGGTGCAAGCAGTTGGCGCCGTCAAAGATGCATGTCTGACTGCTTCGTCGCTGGCTACGGCCTTCGTTTCCGGCTCTATTATCGTTTGCCTTCAGTTTCCTATTTGAATGCGACTTTTAATGATGGAATAACACGAGCTCTATGTTGTCGATCCCCTGGTGATGATCGATATCCGCTCTCTGGTGTCTCGTCCTCCTAGTCTGTTGTTCGTTGGTGCATTCGCAGACCCTGTTCCTATTCTGTCATTTCTCGTTCTTCGCGGACCCGATAGCTTGGTAGCGCTTGGCGGGAGAGAGGCACAGCAGGAGTGACAGCACAGGGCAAGTCGAAAAGAAAGGAAACTCCAAACCCAGATCTTCAGAATCGGGGTCAGACTTGACGATGTCGGCCAGTGAGTGTGGAAAGTGAAAATAGAAGAGGAAAGGCACGGATGAGACGATAAACGGGAGAATGGGGAATAAGCTTCGCTTTATGGGCAAATGTAACCCAAGGAAAGGTGAGCGCCCACGTCCAAGGTGAAGAACCGTGGCTGCGGTAGACCAATAACGGGGATGGGTTAGCTGGGAACAAGCCTGGAATCGAGCTGAGCAAGGCCACTTGCACTAAGGATTTGCGCTAGATGAAGCATGTGGAAGATGTGGAGGATGACTGGCCCGAGGTCATCTTCTGGCCCTGCTTCTCCCTCAGTTTGCAAATTTTCATGCCGTGATGTGGTGTTCGGCCTCAGGGATGGATCTTGAGGTCAAGGTATTTTATGATGAACGTAGTACAGGACCTTGGATAGATAAACACGGCAATCGCGTTTCCATATTACAGGCTTCCGTACATATAGAAGAATGTGCTATGTATTTGGGCCTCTTCACCTTTGGTCTGGGACGCGATTGTCTTGATTTCTTTGTCCCGGTTTGAGATCCACCTTCTGACCGAGTGCCCGAATTTGACGGAAGCCAAGCGCAGAGAGGCATTGTCTGGAGCAATCAAACATCATCGAAGTAGGGCCCCATATGCAGGTCAACACTTGCATGTAAGATGCCACAGTGTTGCTGTCGACAGCGCCGTGCCATCTCACCGGTGACATCCACCCGCTCACCGTGGCCTGAATAGTGCCACAGTCTCTCTCTGATGGTGCTATTTAGTGGTGCCTTCTTCATGTCAGTCCCCAGTCTCACTGAACACCTATAGGTTACCGTTAAATGGCGTTACTAGTTCGTCCCGACACCAAGCCTGTTCCGTGCCCGGTTGCATTTGTAAGTGCGCTAGAAGCCTAGAACAGCGACGGTCCCTACGGCCTGCCCCCGGAAACAATCGCTGAACACCAATCACGGCGGATCGGCTGAAGTTCTGAGAACCGCCGGCCATCTTGATATCCAGCGTAACGTTCGGATACGCGCTATCAATAACAAGACGGGACAAGGTTGCTGTCTCTGTCGGGATCAAATGCAGCACTCAATCAAGTACGGATACTTTCCAGAGCATTCTTGCCGAGTGGTTACACTCCGCCGTAACACCGTGAGGAGCTCCCTGCGGCAGCCAGCGTCTTGCTGAGACCCGAAGGCCATCGTGTTTGGTGCCACCAAGCATTGTCCTCTTGCATCAAAGACGCACAAAGTGTCATCAAAGTGAGAGAAACAACACTGAAAGCCAAGCTCAGCAAGTCGTGAGCCATGCCACCTTCAAGTCGGCCTCCGGTCTGTGCCACGTTCGGCAACCCGCACCATGGGATCACGATAGCTTCAACAATTGAAATTAGTGATTAGAAGCATTGATTGGCAAAAGAATGGACGATCTGGGAATCGAACCCAGGACCTACCGCATGCTAAGCGGTCATTATACCACTAAACCAATCGCCCATGTGTTGATCTAGCCCGGACTTGAACCGGAGACCTTCAGTGTGGCAGACGAGAGACACGAGGCTCTCGACCTGTTAGACTGACGTGATAACCAACTACACCACCAGACCAGTTTTTTCTTGATGACTCAGCTCTCCAAATTGCGATATCTGCAGGGTTGAGTGAGTGTGCGGAGGGCATCACGAAGCGACAGGGCTCGGTGGACAGGTGCAATGTGCAAGGGGAGCAGCAAACCCACACCAGCGATGTGGGACAGCCAAGATCTAGGCCCGCCCATGCACGTCGTGACAGGGTTCCATCCAAAGCACAGTGAAGCGGGGACTTAAGACAATGTCCTCAGTACATGTGGTGGTTGGTTTTGTTCCAGCTTTACAGACATGAGGCACGAGTCACAGCCACGGATAGACTTCAATGCGTGATGGAAAACTTTTCTTCATATTCACATGATCACGCGCTCTAAATCATTCCTCGCAATGCTTCAAACAAACAACCACCTCAACCACGCCAAACGGCCTCGATAATGACAAAGAAGGTCAAGGGGTTCGCCTCGACGCGCTTGATCTCATACCTCTCATCCGCCTTCTTGAACAGCTCCGTCCATGCGTCGAC